GCAGACTGCTGAGGTTCCGTGCAGGTACGCGTGCAAAGCACGCTCGTCCATTTGGGATCAGGGTGAGTGTTTCACCGATGCTTGCTCACCTGTGAGTGACAGAGACGGCGCTGACTTCTGACTCAGCGGAGTGCTCTGGCAGGCTGCCAGCGGGCGGAATGCTCACCATGGACGATGGCCACGGCAGGGGTGTGGGGCTGGGCCCCAGCTCCGGCGGTTCAGAGGGGTTTCGTGTGTTTCCGTTCGCGTGGGAGTGACAGCTCAGCACGTGACTCCACCTGGGAAAGTCACCGCGGACAGATGCCGCGTGGGCTCCCGCTGCCACTGATATGTGTGTCTCATCTCAGCTGCTATCGTGGCCTCTTTGGGAAAAAAATACAAACATCGTTTGAGCAGTTGTCCGTGCCAGGCCCTGGCGTAGGCCCATGAGTGAACGCAACAGGCAGCGATCTCTGGCCTCCCAGCTGAGCTTACGTTCTTGGAGGGGTTGGAAAGTTTTAAAAGTAAGGCTCAGAGAATTTTAGAAGTTGGTAAGTGCTTTGAAGAAAAATAAAGCAGAGCCAGAGGATGGAGGTGATGGGGCTGGGCCGAGTCGCAATTTGATGTCGGGCAGGTGGTCTGGGAAGGGCTCCCTAAGGTTAAGGGCCTGGATGACGGAAGGGGGCGAGTAGGGCATCTTGTGGGGAAAGGGCATTCCAGGCAAAGGGAGCCCCCTGGGGTGGGTGGGCGTGGCCCCTGCTTGGCAGAGGATGCAGAGGAACGAGCCTGAGGGGTTAGGGTTACAGCCACGGTGCATCACAGGGGCCTTGCTGGCCTCCACCAGCGACTGGCTCACAGCGGGGTGGGGCGCCGACAGGGCGCTCTGAGCGGGGAGTCCCATGATCTGACTCGTCCGTTACCGGCATCCCTCTGGCTGCTTTGTTGAAAAGATGCTGGAACAGCGAGGGGGGAACCAGGGATCCGGCCTCAAGGCTGTCACAATGACCCAGAGACGAGAGCAGCAACCGGGCGGACCAAGGCAGCAGAAACTTTGCCCCACGGAGACACAGATGGCACGGAAGACGGGAGGGAGCCTGGCTCGTCTCTCCCCGCCGATCACCCCGTGTAGAAGCCAGAAGTGGACAGGGCGGCGACTTTGTGCTTTGCTTTCCTCTCATCTGGTACCATTAGAGTTAATTCTTCAGCCCGAAGGCCACGGTCCATGAATCTGCACATTTCCTTCCTTCTGGTTTGCAGGCTCATCAGGCGAGAAGAAATGTAGGAACTTAGTCTGATCCCCATTTCAGAATAAAAACCACTGAATTAAAAATAAGTGGTGAAGGGTCACGCTTTCCTTCTTGGTTTTAATAACCAGGGCGGAATCCGGGAAACCTGCCTGCTGAGACAGTTTTGTTCGCTGGTCATTTGCTCTTGTCCCTGTCGGATGCTGGAGCGGTGGGTGACCGGGCAGATTCTGGACGGCTGACTGGAAGGAGGGAGCAGATGGCGAGTGTGAATGGCCGGGAGGAGAAGCGGGTGGGCGGGGAGTGGCAGCTCCCCGGACGTAGCCTCGGTGACCTGGAGCGGAGCATGAAAGAGGAACGCAAGAACGGACCTTTTTCCAGCCACATCTGCCGACCCCGCCAGGCTCACAGATGTCCTTGTTTGTCCACAGGGCTCTTGGTTGACCCAGGGGGCAGATGACAATTCCGGTGCCGCCTCTGGGGAGGCCTGCCAGAGGTCAGAGTCTCCTGGCGTAGGGGCCAGATGCTTGCTGTGTGAAGAACCGTGTGCTGCAGGTAAGCACACCTGATGCTCCCCAAACCACGGGGAGACGGGCGATGCCACCGTGCAAGACGTGTGCATCTCTCTCCTGTCTCTCTCACGCGCGTATCAGCCATGTCCTTGTCATCCTGTCGTCTGTCCTGCATTTTCCTTCTGTCATTCTGCTGCAGATTCATCCTTCGACTGACTGGACGATGGCCTTAACCCCACTTTCCCACCCCAATAATGCGTTCCGAGCTGCTGTTAGGGGCCTGGTCGTAAAAGGCGACACTGTCACTAATGGTGCAGACATCACGTACTGGAACAAAGCTGGGACACTGTGTGGTCCTTTCTCTCACTCTGCAAACAGGTAAACTGAGGCTGGAGCCTGCAGACTTGACCGAGGCCATGGGGTGATTCAGGGACACAAGGCAGAATGACACAGAGTGGGTTTAATGTAGGGAAGAGGCAAGAGAATTAAAATGTTAATCAAGCCACATCAGAAACTGCGGTGTGCTGATCAGGCCTGTGGCCAGGCCCGGGGAGGGCGGGGGGCGGGGGTTGTGGAGACCTGCAGAACAAAGGGACATCTCTGCTGGGACTGCTGACAGCCATGCCCCACACCTGTGCAGGGGAGACAGGAACCAACGGAGTCACTCCCTGTGGCCACAGCACGGGGAACCTATGCCTCAGAGGCCGGGACCCTCCGGCAGGCCTTTCACTCTCTGTATTCTTACCCTTCCACCTGCGTGCTCGGCCCCTGCCTCGCTGTGCGTCACGTCAAAGGAAACGGGTTAACAGAGTCTTTTACACTATAGCTCCCAGGGACCAACGAACGGTTCATACACTGACTTCTCGGAACACTCCGGGTCCCTCTCACTGTCCCTGTCACTCTGTGCCTCTGAGAGGAGACCGCGTTCTGTATGTGGAGTGTCACCCCTTTTCTATAAACTCCCCCTTGGACTCTGCCCTTGGCGTGTGTGTGGAATGCTCTTCGCCAAAGGCCTGTCTTCTCTCAGTACGGGGCTGAGTCTCCCCCCAACTCGGGGACATTTGTCCTGTCCTGCATTAGGCTCAGCAGCCTTGCTCATCGGAGTTTTTGGTTTGTACCTTTTTGGCAAATTTTCTGAACAGTTTTCTGCATTTCGGGTTCTTCACTCCCCAGAGCAGTGCGGCTTCCTCTTCTCCCCTCCTCCTCCCCACCATCTTTTTTTTGAATTTTTTTTTTAGGCGAGGCAACCCTTGGTTGACCTCACAGATTGCAGGGACCTTGTCAGTTTACAATCCCTTATTTTTCTTTTTTATTTTTTAGGCCTACAGCACCTGGTCTTCCTAGGTGGTCTCCCCTCCAAGTACTAACCAGGCCCGACCCTGCTTAGCTTCGGATGGGGCTTGTCCAGGGTGGCATGGCTGTAGACTCCCTACTATCTTTCGATATTTCATTTCATTTCAAGATTGTTCAGTTGCTGGTTTTCAGTTGCTAAAAAAAAAAAAAAGAAGAAGAAAGAAATCACATTGAAGGACACTAAGAAGCCTGCGTCCATCATCCGAAGCAAAACTCGGGGCGCCGCCGCGCCCCTAACGCGCTGCGTGCCTTTCCGCAGAGCTCGGTCTCTTCGCCCAGAGGGGCTGCTTCTGCTTCTGCTTCTGCGGGCGGAGTCGTAAGGACAGCTGTTCACACTGCGGCCCTGTCGCTGCCTCTGTCCGCTCTGCGCCATCAGGCACGTGGCTCTCGTTAATGACACAAGCTGACTTCGGAAGGGAGATGGGGGCTGCGGAGAACTGGGAAGGCCTCCGGCCGCCCCGGCCGCGACATGCACGTTCTCC